AGTAGGATTTCCCCCTCATTTTAGAGATAATACAAACCACAGCCGCAATATTTTTGTGAAAAAAAGATAAACGACAAACCAATTTTTAAAATCAGTTAATAAGTGGGTTTTTTTTTTACTTTTGTCGCAAGGCAAGTCATGGAATCTCAACCAAAATATTTAGCTTTCAAATGAAATGTAAATATTCTCAAAATATATTGAAACAAACAAAAATTGATGTCTAGATTGGTATATATTTTTGGACCTAATTTGGTTGTAAATAATTACAATAATAAACGTTCTAAATTATTAAACTTACCATGATGTTCAAATTTCCACCTTTCTGTAATCATACTTATTAATCTATACATTTTTTGTCATATTTTAAAATCTTCTTAAATCCAATTTTTGTGAAACTTTAAGGATGTACAACACACCTACCCCCAAAAATTCCTGTCGTTTAATTTTCGTTATTTTTATATATTCAGTACATGACTATATCTACTGCATATATGCATATTTTTGACAAAATCGTTCGAGTGGATTTTGGACAGGAACTTCCGAAAGTTACCCCCCTTTAGCTGTTTACAAGGAGAGAAATTTTTTAATCAAAGAACTATTTAAACCTTGATTTTCAAAAAACCAGATTAGATATCAATGACAAATTTTATTGACTTATTCCTTTAACCATTTGACACAAAAATATAGTCATCTTTTTGATATACATATCTTCAACACAATTTTTAAAGACCTTGAACTGAAAAACTTTGAATTTCCTTAGCCTTGAAAATTGCGTATTTTTTAAATTCAAAATTTTTTTGTGAAAAACCTGTCGTTTAATTTTGCTAAAAAAATTTATTTAATTAGCTGATATTAAAAGTAATCTTCATAATTTTTTGTATAATTTTTGTTCGACCAGTTTTGATTTAATAGCGGAAAATTACCCCCTCCCCCTTTCTCAGAAAATCACATTCCCGTGCGTCTTTCAGACAAGGGGTCGATCACTTTGTTATAAGAATCTGCTAATACACATTAAAAAAAATTAAATTTGAATATTGCTTTAGCTTCAAAAGTATATTAACTTACAAATTTAAAAGTTCTCATATGGAAAGCATCTTTAAATGTAGATTTTTAGGCAATTTTGAATACCCCTGTCACCCCCACCCCTTCCTTTTTTGTGTCATGATTCATGATTACAGAATAAATATTGACTACTGTTTTTATATGTATCAGGAGAAAATTACTCAAAGACGTTAGTTTTTAGTCCATATACTTATGCGTTATGCATTCCATATCACATGAAACCTAAATACGAATTCAAGTTTTGTTGAACTTGATGAATTTGATGTTGATTTTTAATTTTATTTCTTTAATTTTATTCATTATAAAAATGGTGTATGTTCAACTCTTCTGTGATATAAATGGAATAATTGTAGTTTCTTTCATGTCATTATTTCAAACGAGACAGGCAGTGGGGATACATCGACATTTGCATTTATCATAGATGTACATACCGGGTACACCCCTCGTGATTTGTATACACATTTCTTTCAATGTCGTCGCTTGTAAAGTTTTTATGAAAATTCCGTATTCGTCCACATTAACTTCAAAATATCAAACATTAAACTCTTCATCTATTTCAATTTATATTAAATCCCACTTTGATGTTTTTCAAAATCTCATAAGCTACGTTTGTTTTGATTCGAGGAAATGCGAACCGACATTGTTGACAGAAAGTTAAAGTTACGATTTGCTGCAATAGGATATTCATAAATGAATATTTCATTACAAGTGAACAATTCTTTTCAATTCTATTACTTATATTGTGTATATGAGGTCTATAGTATTCAACTGTCGGATTTATCAGGTCTTGCTGTAAATGTATCTGATTCTGTGGAAAACCGTGAAAAAAACGGAGGAAAATAAAATCTCCTATATTTTCAGAGTTGTTCCTCTTTGATCAGTAAGGGTCTGAGAACAACATCGATTTTACATTGTACAGTTTATTGATTTTTTTTATTGTTGTTTTATTTAATTAAAGAAGTAAAGCAATATGTATATCGTGTATGCACAAATTATAATGAAGACCATTAATCGGGATGTTATATAGCCAATTTTACATTATGAGAATTTCGGCAATGTAGAATTAAAAAAAATGCTTCGCTTTGATCAAAAATACAATTTATTGTATATGAAATGAAATAAACATGAAGGGATTGTATTTTATATCTTGCTTTTTACGGAGTTTAATCGGGTTAATTAAAAGAAATACTTATTGATTGAGTATGGTTCGCACAATTACAGCCAAGACCCATATTACAATTTTCTTTCATGATTGATATACATCGGGATCGTTTTACTCGTCGCTTTGACGCTTGATTTTTGACGTTAAACTTGACGTCAAGTCAAACGTTCAATTGAAATTGCAAGATTTATCTCCCCCAGTGTGTTGTACGTCTTTAAATGAAAAATTTAACTGTAATTTTACTTATTTAAATATGACTTAAATTGTAATTTTCAAGGCTTGTTATTTAATCTGTACTTAAATTATAGTCCATTGGGGGGGAAAATTGACTGGGGGAAAATCACACTCTATAACTACTATACAGAGTAGGATTTCCCCCTGGAAAATTGACTCTGCAAGGTGTGGGATTCCGTAGGGGAAATCCTACTCTAAAGCCAGTTTTATTGGGGGGAAATCCTACTCTAGAGCCAGTTTTATTGGGGGGAAATCCTACTCTAGAGCCAGTTTTCTTAAGAGAAAGTCAACTCTAGAGCCAATTTTCCGGGGGGAAAGATTTCATTGGGGAAATTTAAGCCTATTCTACAAGACCGGTACTTAATTTTGACAGCGGAAAACATTATTTTCTTTTCCTTTCAATATGTACGAAACTGTGACTTTAATAAAGATGACTCCTCCCTCTTTCTAGTCCATCTTAAAGACATAAATAAGATTGGACATATAGTCAAGGAAACATCTTCATTATAAAGTCACAGTTTCATACATATTTAAACAATCTTTACTGTCCCCAAGAAATGTTCAAAGTGTCTTCTGGTTTTGGTCAAAGCGTCCCCTGATATATTTTTACAGGGAAAAAAATGTTTCGAGTCGATTTCCTAGCAATGGTCAAAATGTCCCCAGATTTTGGTCAAATCGCCCCCTTATACATGTATAAAACTTAAATTAAAGGAGGTTAATATGTTTAATCATTGTAAATATTTCAGATAGCATAAAACATACTCCTGGGAAAAATGATTGTTTATTGGTTCATTTAACAGTAGTAATATACATTTTATAATTTTTTTAAATTCTTTACCATAGACTTGACCATGTTGTGACCGTAGATGAGTCATATTTGGAAATCATATTGAGAGCGATGAAGAAAAAACTAAGGAAAATTCTGAGTTTGACCGCCTACCAGTGATACGCAACAATGATGAAATCGAATAACTGATCCATGATTTTCCAGCCATTGTTTACATTAGTCAGCTTATAACCTTGGCAGAAACAGGAGTCCCCAAGATTTGTAGGGTGAAAGGATGTGAAGCTCTAGTTCACATTTCATCAGAAGTACATGTAGTGTCTTACCGTATATACTCTCCTATAAGTCGGTTCGCCTATAAGTCGGTTGTATTTCTTAAGTTCATTTTAGAAAGAATGACCTTCTATAATACCAGTCTTCTTGTATCTCGCCTATAAGTGGGACATAGAGTTTTAAACCAAATTTTAACTCCGAAAAAAAAACGACTTATAGGGGAGTATATACGGTAATTCAGCTGTGTACCTATGATGGGTAATCAACTTCAGTATAATTTTAAAAGAGTCATTAATATATAATACATGTATTAATTTGTTACAAGGCGAACATTCAACCTTTTTTACACAGAAATACAAAGGCACTTAATGACTTATTAAATTTCTATTCCAGGTCTGCACAAATAATTATGAGGCACACAAATGGTGTTCACAACCTCTTCTTAACAGACGGGTTCACAGTGGGGATGTTTTGCTGTCAGCAGCTTTACTGGCGTCAGGAAATAATTTTCAAAAGATTTCCCCTCTTTTTCAAGTTCCTGAAGCTCCCTATTCTCTCCGTCTCATCATTTATTAAGATACAAAGAACCTACGTCATGCCCACTATTGAGGAAATTTGGGAAAAGTATCAGGATGAAATTTTAGAGGAGTTCAGAGGCAGAGATGTTGTTGTTGGTGAGTTCAATATCAAGTTATCAACCAAATATTTGTATCATTTGTTTCGTCAAGAAAAGGTTCCATATATTAAAAATTTTCTTTTATTTTGATTTTAAATATTTTTCTTTGCTTAGGCGTCATTTTGGTCGTATGGACAGTCCAAGTCATTCTGCACAGTATTGTACATACACATTTATGGAAAACGATTCCCACAAGATACTGCAGTGCTTAGTGACCATGATCGAACAAGAGAATGATAGGAATAAACAGTGCCATCCTTGAAAAGGCGTGTTTTCAGAAGGGCCTGCAGTTTCTCCTTTAAACAGAAATAAAGGTGGTGAAAGTCAGGTGACAGATCCACATGTGCAGATTGAAGCATTTATGAGTATGTCTTTGTATATTTCTTTGGTTTTTAAGCCCCCGTATACAAAGTTTTGGGGTACATAGTTTTTGTCGTGTCTGTCTGTCTGTCTGTCTCCTTGTCTGTCTTTGTCAGCAAAAACTTCAACCTAAGTGCTAATAAATATTGATTTAGTGGAGCTATGACTTTCATATTTCATATGTATATTCCTTATGACAAGACCTTTGTTTGGGTACCACCAAATTTGACCTTTTGACCTCAACCTTGGATTTTGACCCTTTTTTCACAAAAATTACAATCTTCACTATGTTGCCAGACGGGGGCATCAGTGTTCATAAACACATCTTGTTTTCTTCTAGCTTGAATTTATAATGAGAATTTTTTCTGATTTTCTCTAGGGATAAATAAATAAAATCAATTTACTATAACTCTCATTACATTTTTTTAACAGAAAGTGAATACCCAGATATAAAACATTTATTCGACATCTGGCATGGGTCCAAAAACCTTGGGAAAAAACTAATAAAGGTGAGACAATTAAAGATTTTTAATCTGAGAATATTTTGAAATTTGAAAAAAAATCTCAATTAGTAAATTGAATTTTGAACCTTATTCTAAGACTGGACAAGAAAAATCAAAAAAGCCAATATTGCAGTGGACGAGAGAGATAGTAAACCATCATCTGTAGCAACGAAATACAGAAGATGAGTTTATTGTAAGTTTGAATTGTTAACAGAAAAATCATTTGATTCAGTTTGTGTTAAGGTATTAGGGGTGTAATAGAAAGTGAAAAAAGACTGTTCTTCTAATTTCAGGGCATTTGGTTTGGAGTCATACATCATGTTGTGAATGAGCATGAATGGATTTTGCCATATACATATAGAGCAGGAGGAAGAAGTTCATGCCAGCATGGTCAAAATTAACAGAGGAAAGGGACAAAAATTGGTTTGAGGCAGGATCTCCAGCACATGTTGCCGTGCGTGAAATTGTCAGACAAAAGGCGAATAAAGAAGATTCCTTACTACATACCTTAATTGCTGGTATATATACACAAAATTGATTGTATTACTCTCATTTCAAAATATTTTCTATTTATGCTTATCCAATTACAATGTACATGTATAATGTTTGCATTAGGAAATGATTGTATATATTGTTTAACGTCCCTCTTGAGAATTTTTCACTCATATGGATGCCGGTGAAGGGCTTCAAATTTAGACCTTTACTCAGCACTCAGGGCCATTGAGAAGTGAGGGTTCTTTATCGTGCCAACGCCTACCGTGACACGGGACCTACGTTTTTAAGGTCATATCCGAAAGACCCGTGATTTCACTTCTAGTGCCGAGTGCTTGGTGAAGGAACAGTCACTACCTATGTTCTGCTTAGGTATGACGCGGCGCCGCGATCAAGAATCGAACCCGGGCCTCCCGATCACAAAGCGAACGTTCTACCACTAGGCTACCAAATGTGATACTGGTATCTATTATATACCTAATGTGTATCACACAATTTTACTGTTGAATTTACGTTATCATGTGACGTTGTGATCCAATTGTCCGGATCACAAACATGTAGTTTTCTGAATCCATATCACCACTCTCTGAAACTGATGACGTAGTACGCAAAAACATGACGTTATTTTTCTTGCGCGTTAAAAGTCCCTTGTTATTATGCTTTGTTTTAATCAATCTCTTAAGTTTTATTCTGCTATATTTAGCTAGTTATAGGGGGGTATATAATAAATTTATCATAATAATAGTAACTTGATCCGAAGAGCCGTATCACGTCTCGTTGACAGGCGCGGATCATCAGATCAAAGTCGACGCTTCGCGTCTCGTTAGATCTGATGATCCGCGCCTGTCAACTACGCGATGTAATACGACCCTTCGGATCAAGTTACTGCTATGATAATATATGTATATAATGGATTCCTAAATTATTAGATTAAAAGTTTTCAGAAAAATTTCACCATGTATACATGTATATTTTTAATATTAGTATTTTTTCTTTTCTTTTACAGAAGCACAGCGGCTTTGTAAGTCATTTCTATGGCATGCCAAATTCACAAAAATGAGCTAAACATAGTTTCACAGTTTTATAAGTTGTAAACCATAGTTTACGGACTGTAAACTATACAATTAACAATGTTAATCTATATTTTATATCTGTAAACCATAGTTAACGTGATAATCTATGGTTCACAACTGAAAACTATATTTAACACCCAAAACAATCATTTGCAATTGCAAAACATAGATTATCTGATATACTTCACGATTATAAATTATCGTTTACAGATGTGAATCTATGTTTATCAACAAAATCTATTGTTAACGTTTTATTACAGACAGATAACCCTAGATTAGCATTTGTAAACTATAGTTAACAATCGGTTAAATATAGTTTGACAGATGAAAACTATAGTAAACGAATTGCTAGCTATAGTTCATGGTTTGTAAACTATAGTTTACATTTGATAAACCTGGTTTATCAACTGTGAAACTATGTTTAGCTAATTTTTGTGAATTTGGCATGCAACACATTTCCCTGACTAGGTTGGAATGCATTATGAAATACATTGAATCTTGAACTTTAGGCGTCAGCGGTACTATAGCAAAAGAAGTTGAAGATGGTCTGCCTACCCAGTAAGGGAAGATAAGAAATATCCTTATGCATCCAACATTATGAGACTAGGCGTCCACAATAGGCTATTCGACCCCGAATGAACCGAGCAGTTGTCCTTGATGTGGAGGATCCATGAGGGGTGTGATGTGGAGGATCCAAGAGGGGTGTGATGTGGAGGATCCATGAGGGGTGTCCAAGACCCTGTTCCCTGTTGCCCCCCCCCCCCCCACACACACACACCACCACCCCCAACCGAATCTCTGGTGGCAGAGAAGATATCACGATTTCTTCATGAGAATACAGAAGGACATCTCTCTAATTATGTTGTTTAATTTAAGCAATACAATGCTGTCTTTGGTTAAATGTTGTTATAAATTGTATTATAGACATATGTCATTGTAATGTATGCATAATTGAAAAAACAGCCATTGTTCAAGAAATTTTAATGCAAGTGGCTTGTTTTGTGTCATTTAGAATGAGATAAGGGCAGTGGTCTGAAGGAATAAAGGAAATAATATTCAGTGGATATAAATTAGATATATTGCAATTTTGAACTCTTTACCTGTAACAATTTATATTATAATGATATTGCAATCTTCTAACTGCCTGTATTTACTTCCAAATTTATAAATTTACTTTTAACAAGGATGATATTACAACAAAAACTATTATTATACATGTATGATATGCATTTTTCTAAATTATATTTGGACACTTTGAACATTTGTGTTATATTGCAGAATATTGTAAAAACGGTTATAATTAAAAATAAATACCATAAACTTTGACAGCTTAGTAATTCATCAATATGCTTTTGATACAGTCTTTTAAATATGACATTGGTTTCAGTTTTTGCATTGATGAATGAAAAATGATTTGTAGTATTTCAAAGTTTTATTCAATGTTTATTCCTTAAAATCAGATAAATCAACAATATGTGAAGAGTTATGTTTATCAATCTAAGACTCCTTCTATGTATCCTACATATTGACCCGAAGGTTCAGGATATTGGTCTCGAATTTTCCATATGCAACAGCTGGGAATGACCTTTTCGGTTTCCAGCCCCAAGATGGCCATGCATCCACATAATTTATTGTCTGTAACTGTATGCTTATGATCGATAGTAAATGAGAACCAGTTTTGCTTTTTGGGTTCATCCACCTTAAGCTTTGTTTTCAGATGTACATGTACATCCACCTTTAAGATTTGTTTTCAGGTTTCATGCAATTGTTAGCATAGTGTATTTATTTGCTGTATGTCATGTATTTATTTGTTTTTTTATCATAAATAAAAATGTATTTATTTGGTAGTTGTGTCCTTCATTGAATGTATCCATTTAGGTAACTGTACATGTACATGTAGTCTGTAATAAGCTGCCTGCACATGGTTAGAAACTTTTCTCTAGAGTTGTGGAGTAAAGTGTTGACCCTTACATCACAGGTTCAAATCCCACAGCAGGATATGGAGACTGGTTATTTGGATGATACCATACCCGTATAAACTTAGTTCTATGTTGCAGTTTGTGTTGGAGAGAAAAAGTTCCCTCACTGTCCCTGAGTGCCAAGATGTATAGATGAAGGTTACAGAGATAACGAACAGTATTCAATCTCAAAGTCCATAAAACAATACAAAATAGAGCTGAGCAAACACGGACCTCCGAAACATCAGAGGTGGGATCAGGTGCCATGGAGGAGTGAGCATTCCCTGCCGACCGGTCACACCCGCTGACTGTGCTCCTTGTCATGATCTAATTTAAAATTGTGCAAACCTCCTCCAGCAGTGAAAAAATCTTGATAGGGGAGTTGATTTTAACATACATGTAAACCAGAACTTTGCTATCTAGAATAAATTGATACTTGTATCTTGAATATCATTAAATGTTGAAGTGATGTAGACATCTACCTGAAACATTTTCAAGTATTTTACCCTTAAATGATTTCTTAATTAAAGCTTTGAATTCAAAGTTCTTTCTAATCTGTTCAAATTATTAAAGTTTGTTGAAAATTAATATTTTTCTCAGAAAATACATTATATGTTATCAGTATCCATGTAATTCCATTTTTTCATATAATTATGATGGGAAATCTTGGGATATTAGAACAACACAAAAAATATATTAATCTGACATTAATACATGTATTTATCATTTAAATGGCTCTAAAATTAATATTAAATACAATAATACTATTATGGTACAATAAATATATAATACTCTTATAACAGATATCATTAAAGAATCATTAAAATTGTGTCATAAATAAATATGGGAATCCTAACTACCTTTAATGCTAAAAACATGCGTAAAGGGAAGTAACTCTTTAAACTCAATCAGTTGAAGTACTTTTCACAACCGTGTGAAGAGTTATCTTTCTTATATAACAAATGAACCAAGCCTAAAGCCTAATTAAACAATAGCTTTTGAATTAATATATATTCACTATACTGTCAGCAGAAAATTAATAAAGGAGATAATGAAAATGAATGCTTAGACACAGATTTGAGATGAGAAAATATGATTTAACATCTATACAGTTTTTAAGATAGAAAATCGTCGGGAGACACACGGTAGGGGATTTACATGTTGACAAACAGACTTCATACCATCCAGGAAGTTGCATCATGCGCACTAGAAAAAAGGAGTTTCCTTTAATTCAGTATTCTAAAATTATAACTGTGTTCCTAAAAATAAAACACGGAAACCAATGAAAGATGCTCTTTCTGTGTATAGAAGTATTACTATAACTGAGGTGCATGGACGTGCTTTCGGGGGGATGGTATCCAAAATTCGTTCATATAAAAATGTAGGGATTTCGACTTTGACCTGTTTTTGAACTATTTTAGTGAAATATAGGGTCTTCGAAACAATCACTGCATTGAGATGGTACAGAATCGCACATACTTGGGGGTACACAATTTACATCTATACCAGCATTACATTTCGGTTGGAAGCTGCCTTTCCATGGACACTGCATGGACACGCTGTACGATACTGGAACCATTTACTGACAATGGAGGACAACTGCATAATAAAACACGTGTTTTCTTTTGGGAATTATAATTAAATATATGTAATAAACAAGATGTGTTTACGAACCACCATGTGCCCGGCGGCAACATAGTAGTCAAAAAAAGCTATTTTTAGCATATAGGTCACTGTCAAGGTCACAAGTTCAGTGGCATTGGTGTAATTTGAAAGAACCTATTAATGGAGTATGCATACCAAATATACAGTCTTTATCTCCTATGGTTAACAAGTTGTGGCGAAAATTTAAAAAAAAAAACTATATTAGCATAAAGGTCAGAATCAAGGTGATAAGGTCATTCACCTTGGTGTCATTTGAAAGAGCTTCATTAGTGGAGTAC